GGCCCTTCTGACTGTGAGATTTTATGAGTCATCATGAGATGAAATTTCACCCAGCCACGAGAGTGGAATAGTAGCACATATATGAGCTTTCATGTCAGACAGACCTGGATTCAAACCTGGCTCAGAAATCGGGTGATACATGCCTATAGTCTCAGCTATTTGGGAGGCTGAGGCAGGAAGGTCACTTGAGCCTATGAGCCGGAGACCAGCCTTGGCAACATGGCAAGACCCCCATCTCATAAAACCAAAAAAGGGGCTCAGCCACCTCCTGTTTTGGGGACTGTGGGCATATTTCCTCCCTTAGCCTCAGTTTCCTTGTAAAACGGAAATTATACCTTTCAGCATTAAGGGTGATGCCTAACAAGAATGCAGCAAATTATGCCTACTCCTCGGCATTAAGCAAATGGTCAAATCGTGGATTGGCAGGGATTTTTGTGACCTCTGATGACAGAGCTGAATGAAAGAATTAAATTCATGTTTTAATCAAGGCACTAAATGTTTGGATACTTAACATAAGTAGGGAACTGGCTTTTTCTGTGTCTATCTCTGAAATGATCATGAAAAATAGGATATATAAGTGGGTAAAGTTCAAGAAATGTTTGAGGATCATGATGCCTTTGCCAAAAATTGAAAATCTGAGTCTCTGATCCAAAGGGAACACATCAGCACCGATAAACCTTGCCCTGTGGGAACAGGAATCAGCTCTAAGACACTGACCGGGTTTCATTAGTTCCCTGAGTATGCAGCCCAGGTGATGGGGAACTCACTACCTGCTGAGACTGTCCACAGCAAACTTCCTATGTTTCCCAGCTTGTTGTCTAGTGTTCGCCAGCTGGGAAATGGAATTTTCTGACAATGTTGCCCTCCAATTGAGACCAGACCCGAATAGGACAGGTACTGTATGATCTGACGAATGTGTAAGAAGGTCTTGGACATTTGCAGCAGCAGAGAGGGGGCCAAAGTGTTGCAGTGACTTTCAGAATCACACAGATCTCAGCATGGTTTCTCTTCTGAGATTTAGCTGTGTCCTTGGGCAAGTCAAGCTCTGAACAGTTTTCTTGTGTGTGAAATGGGATTGATTGAATCTTGCTCACATGAAGACTCTGTGAAATTAAACATTAAAGCTTGGTGCTGGGCACCAGATAGGAACACCTGCTTAAGAGGCCAAAGCTGGTATTTCATGGGAGGGGACATTCTCAGAGATGGCTATTGAGGCATTAAGGAGAAGAGTGACATTGGAACTTGGGGGACTCTGGTGCTATGGCTGGACTGTGGCCCCAAAAGTTTATGTGTTGGAAACTTAATTCCCAAATGCATATGTTAATGGCATTTGGAGTTGAAGACTTCAAGAGATGATTAGGATTCAATGAAGTCATACAGCTGCAGATAATGGCAGTAGTGGCTTTGTCAGAAGAGGAAGACAGGCTCAAGCTGGCACCCTTGCTGTCCCAACACAGGATGCCCTCTGCCGTGTTAAGATGCAACAAAAGGCGTGTAAGGGCCAGGCTCTTGGACTTCTCAGCCTCCAGAACCATCAGCTAAATGAACTTCTATTCTTTATAAATTACCTGGTCTGAGGTACAGACTAAGACACCTGGGTTGACAATGTGTCTCCCCAGGCTGGGTCACTGCTGTTAGTGGGTTTTTCCCAGGGAGTCAGCACTTAGAAAGGCAAGTTCCGGTCAGAGATGCTGGGAGCTGGGAGCTGTGTTTCCGGAGCCCAGTGAGTCCAGTGTCCCAACCTTGTAAAAACAAGGACAAGCTTAAATGTACAAGCTTTATCTATTTATTTTTGTCTCCCAGTGCTAGGGGTTGAAGCCAGACCCTCCTCCCTTCCCTTTTAAAAAAGGTGTTACTAAATTGTTCAGGCTGGCCTTAAGCCCACAATCCTCCTGCCTCAGCCTCCCACACAGATTTGGCTACAGGACTGCGTCACCATGCCCAGCTGGAACAAGCTTTTACCACCCTTGACATATTCATACTCACTCACTCGTTTGACCTTCAGGTGATGATATAAAGCAGACAAGAATAATTCCCATTTCACAAGTGGGAAGTTGGAGCATGGCAAAAGATAACATTTTGGTTTGGGAGGTGAGCTACTGAGAAAGAACCTATGGTTTCCCCTGCACTTACTGCTATCTTCTCCTGACTCTTAAACTTGGGCCTCTGGTGTCTGGGGCAAGACACTAGCTGCTCAGAGCCCCAGTTTCTCTTCCTCCTCCCAGAAACCTCTCCAGGCTCTGGCTCTATGCTTCCCCAGCTACCCCTGCATTCTTTTCGCTCACCGGTCCACAGACACTGGCTGAGCACCAAGGTACCGTGAGCCAGGTGCGGAGCCATGGAAGTGAATGAAGCACAACCCACACACCTCACCATCAGTCCACAGCAGGGTGGACTACAGAGGCAGAACATGTCACCAAGCACAGCCCGGGGTCTCAGCTGGCTTTTTGGAGGCATCCTTATTTTTGCTAGATGAATAGAAGTTATTCAGGTGCACGGGCAGAGAAAGCCAGCAGAGGCAGGAACATGGTGAGATCAGGGATCACGAGCGATTTGGGGACAGGTTATGGGTGGATGCAGGGGGCTCAGTGAGGGCCAGGTCACACAGGACACTGAAATCAGGCTGGGACACCTCAACTGTGTTATGAGGAGGGGTCACTCAGGGCAGGCTCTGGGTCAGATCTGTGACCCTAAATGGAGAATGTTGGGGACACAAAATACTGCAGGGAATCTGGAGGCTGTAGGAAAGAACAGAAATGAGGCGGGCAGGGAGGCTGGAAAGGAGACAGAATGGATGGGGGCAGGCTGCAGGCTGCACGCGGGGCGAGCAGTGGAGGGATCAGGACAAGGCTCAGGATCCCAGGTGGGGCGATAGGGTTAGGGTGTGGGGAGGACAGGAAATGTTGGTTTTACTGTGCAGATGGGGAAACTGAGGCTCAGAAGTGCAGAATACATGACATAGCTCAAGGGCTCAATACCGTGTGTCACTGGGTGCTTCGCGGGGGCTCCTCAGTCCGCGGGGTCCCAGTACAGCCTTCTCTGCTCCAGTCAGGAGGCTGCTGGGCTCCCAATCTACACTTCCAGGCCGGCTCCGAAGCTGGGCTGCTGCCAGACTCTCCCTCCATGGCAGCCCAATGTAGTCACCTCTAAGGCCCTGGCCACGGCATCTGCAAAGCGGCAAGGCGGAGAAGTAACAAGCAAAGGCCCTAGTTCCTAAGGCTGCACTCAGATTGCGACAGTGGCTGGCCGTCGTCTGTCTCCCTTGCAGGTGCTCCTGACTCTGCTGTGCTCACAACGGCACCCTCACACTTTCAACCCTGAACCAGCACTTCTCAAACTTTAATATGCGTACAAGTCCCATGGAGCTTAGTAAAATGTAGGCTCCCATGAATCAGGCCTGAGGTTCTGAATTTCTACTGAGTTCCCAGATGATGCCAGTGCCGGCCCATGGGCCATGCCTTGAGAAGTCCAGCGTTCTGGCCTCACTAACCTTCTCTAAACTAATGACTCCCACAATTCTATTTCCAGTTCTGACCTCTCTCAAGGATTCCAGCTTTTTTGGGGGGTGGTACTGGCGACTGAATCCAGAACATTCACATTAAGCTACCTACCCAGTGGGCTTTTTTTTTTTTTTTTTTTATAGGCTCTCACTAAGTGGCTAAGTTGCCCAGGCTGGGCTCAAACCTGTACTTCTCCTGCCTCGACCAGGCAGAGTGCTGGATTCGAGGCGTGCACCACCACTCCCAGCTTCCAACAGTTACATCAGCTTCCTTCCCCTTAGAGCCTTTGTCCCAACTCTGCCCTCTGCCCCCCAGTCTCACTCGGCGCCTGCTCACCCTTCAGATTTCAGCTTCTGGGTCACCTCCCCGAGTGGCCTTCCCTGACCCAACAGCTTACTACAATTTAACTCTGCAGTTCATATCGGTAGCGAACCTGTTTGTGAACTGTGCCCGTCTCCCCTGCTCAGCAGTAAGATTATGACCTTGCTCTCTCCCTGGTTCACCTTGCTCTCTACATGGAACAGGGCCATGGAATAGGTGCTCAGAAAATATTTATTGCATGAGAAAATGTCATTCCCCTGTCTGAGCCTGTTTCTCCATGTATAAAATGGAGATAATTAAATAACAGCTACCTCGCAGGTTAAGATTAAATGAGATAGGGGTTGGGGGTGTAGCTCAGCGGCACAATGCCCATCTACCATGTGCAAAGTCATAGGTTTGATCCCCAGCCCCGTAAAAAAAAAAGGGGAGTGAGATATACATGTAATGTCCAGCCATAGTGCTCGGTACTTTGTCACCACTGGTCAGGGTTTGACACCCAGTCGCAGAGAAAAGGTCAATTCAAGGATGAAAAGGGGAAGAGTGTGTGCTTCAACTCAATTGTAAGTTTATTAGAAAGGCGATGGACAAATGAACCCTGAGTTACCAGCTGAGGAAGAAATGGAAAAAGCCCCTGACCTTGCGGCCGGCCGGCTGGGCTCCAGTGCATTCTGTCCAGTGGCAGACCCAAAAGAATAAAGTGCTCTCCATCCTCTCTCCTGGGGCTGCCAACCTGACTGCAGGGCCCCCCAGGTGGGCCATGCGGGTGCTGGTGGCTGGAGCCAGGAACGAGGAGCCAGCAGGGTGGGCTCCTCTGCTCTAGCAGAAGTGGTTCTAGTCCCCCAGCAGAGCAGACAGAAGAGTCACTGGCTGGGGACACAGTGAGCTCTGCCAGATTAGCCAGCGGCTCTGAGAGGCGATGCTGGGCTGTCTTGCAGGTATGAGCAGATGGCTCCGGATGGCCAATGGTAGGGTCCTCAGGAGAGGACCCCAAAGCTGATCCAAGAAGCCTTAGCCACAGAGAGCCGCAGTGTGACTTGTGCCCCCTCCACAGGGCTGTACTGGCTATTTCTACTCCCAGAAAGGCAAACGGATCTTGTAAAAATCCACAGTGGCAGGGCCGGGGATTTAGCTCAGTGGTTCTGCTGCCTGCCTCGCAAGCCAGTTCAATCCCCGGTACCAAAAAAAAAACCCCAAAAAATCCATAGTAGCTGATGTCATTTTTTTCCCTTAAAAAAGATAAAAGTTCATATGGTGAATCGATTTCAGAGCCCGAGTCAGGAAGAGTCCATCCTGGGGAAGGAGAAGGCACTTCTCACACCCTCACGGGGTAATCTGGGCTGGCTGCTTCCCGGGCCCCGCAGGACTCCAGTTTGCTCTGGCCCTGTGACTCAGGCCTGCTCTCTCTGGGAAGAATGCTGCCTCCATCAAGCACCGCCCTGCGGCCAAGATGCCCCAGCCCCTCACAGGGTGGTAGATGGCAGCTTCCTCACCCGCCGCTGGGCCAGGATGGAGGTCTCAATGGGCTTCAGCTGGGGGGTGGGCTTCGAGCTATTGAGTGCGGAGTACGTGGCTGCCATGGCTCCCTGGAAAGAAGCGGGCGTCAGATCACGGGTGGGAAGGGAGTGGGGAGGGCACATGTGCCTGAGGGCCAGGCCAGCCCCTCCCAGTGTTCCACAGCCCACACAGCCCATCTACTCCAGCCCTGGCGACTTCCGCCATCAGACCGGAAGACTGGAGGTATCAGAGGTCCGGAACTATGGCTCCCGGAGAAGCAGAGCCAGTGAGAACACTGTGACACGGCTGAATGATAGTCTGGGGCTCCCTGAAAACGGTTATGTCTTCTGTCCTCTGTCCCTCCTCCTGGTTCCCAGCACAGACGTGACATCTCCTGGCTGCACCACCTCAAGTCCCCACTCCTGCCACTTGGGCCTGAGGCCACCCTACTCTCGATGCTCAGCAGCTTGGTGGCCATACCTTCACCAGCTGCAGGTCCTGGTGGGACAGCTGGCTCTGGGGAAGCTTGTCTTTCTGGGTGATCCATGGATGCTGGAGGACCTGCTTGGCTGTGAGACGCTGGTGGGGGTCCACATGCAGCATCTTGGATACCAGGTCCTGGACGCACAGTGGGCAAGCGGGTGGTAAGAGGGGTAGAAGAAGGGCAGACAGCTTTGTCCCACTGATGGGCAACCAGAAGGCAACCGGGCTTGGCCATCTCCTGCCTGAACCCTTGCCCCAGGCCTTGTGATCCATTCTCTACAGAGCCAGGTAGAGCCAGGGGAGCAAGACAATCCCCTCCAGCACAGCGAAGCATTCCACTCTGTGGGCCTTGGCTGTTCAAGGCACTTCGGGGAATTTCCTTCCCTTCCGCCTTCTCCTTTAGAAAGCCAGGTGGGAAGGTGGGAAGATCTTCAGTGTTGGGGTCACGCAGTCTCAGGTTCAAATTTGACTTTTTCATTTATCACCTGAATGCTCAGAGCAAGACACTACAACTCTCTGGGTCTTAGTTTCCCCTCTGAGAAACAGGGATAACAACACCTACCTCACAGGCACAGGTGAGGTGGAACTGTTCACAAGGAGATTCCCAATAACTAGAAACTCTTGCCAGTGTTGAAAGCTCAACTGTGACCTCTTTGGAGAAGGCCCTCTGCATGGCGTGGGTAGTTGCTCTGGGCCTCCACTGTCCATACTTCTGGCTGGGAGGACCTGCCTCTGTGTGCAGCCTGTGTCTCCCACAACACTAAGTTTCCACAAGGAAAGGACTGGGATTATGCAGTTCTCTAGCTCCAGAGGGCCGCGAACTATCTGAACAAACCACAGATGGTCAGCCTGGGAATCTCAATTGAACAATTACAAGAAAAGGGATCTGTGGAATATTCTACAGGCTGCAAGAAGCCTGTTCTTGACCTGCCACAAAGCCCTAGACGGGTCACTTCCTCCTTGCTCCAGGCCTCAAAGACTCACCTTGGCAGTCTCTGAAACTGTGCTCCAATTTCCCCCACTGAGGGTAAACTTCCCACTGCCAATCCGGGTCAGGATCTCCTCTGGCGTATCACTGGGCCCGTTGGCAAATGGAGTGTATCTGGAGATAAGCCCACACAGCCTGGGTTCAGCCTCCTGGCCTCCATCCTGGGGCTGGGGGTGGGGTGGAGGCTGTGTTTCCTCCTCCGACCTCATGCCCCAAAGTGGAGCTCCTAAAGCCAGGGCAAGTCTCAAGGCAGGGCTGAGTCTCTCCCAACAAGCGGCACCTGCTGGAACCTAGGGCTGGGGGAGGGAGGAGGGCCAGGCCGGGGCACTCACCCAGCCAGCATGGTGTAGAGCAGAATGCCCAGGCTCCAGATATCACAGCCTTCATCATAGCCTTGGCGCTTCAGCACCTGACAGGAAGGCATGGAAGGGTGGTCAGTCTAAAGGCCAGAGGCACACATTTCTCCTAAAAGGGGAAGACAAGGGTCCCAGCCATGGTCCAGATCTGCCTTTGGTACCTAGGTCAAGGTCGTGGACACTGCAGTCCTGGACGGTGTGGGGCCTCCGGGAGCAGACACAAAGCCTCTTATGTCCCCACTCACCTCGGGTGCTACGAAGTTGGCTGTGTAGCAGGGTGTCATGAGGAGGCCATTTTCAGCCCGCAGCTGCTTGGCAAAGCCAAAGTCACAGATGCGCAGACACTCAGGGTTCCCAGACTCATCCACGAAGAGGATGTTGCTGGGCTTGAGGTCCCTGTGCACAACCTAAAGGCAGAGGGCTGGGGTCAGCTGCGGTGTGGGGAGGCTGCCACTAGCCCAGGCCAACTGCCAGGGATGAGTGTGAGAAAGATGGGTAGAGAGAGGGGAGGACCAGAACTGGAGGAGGGGAAGGGCTGAATGGGGCCCTGCTGCTGCTGCTACCGCCTTCCTGAAATCTGTGCAGACGCCTCAGGTGGCTCTAACTTAACCTATTCAGCACTGAACGCCCACATATTACATAGTCTTAACTAGTGACAATGTTGTCTTTCTTGCTGAGTGGGTCCCTTTTCCCCCTTATATTCCTCAACCAATCCATCAGCAAATTCCTTTGCCTCTGCCATTAAAATATATCTAATGCTCAACCATTTCAGTCTCTCTCCTGGCAGTGCTCTAACCTGGGTGGGACACTGGTCTCCTGCTCCTGTGTAGAAACAGACACCACAGTGCTCTTGTTAAACCCAAGTCAGATCATGTCACCGGGCTTGAAATCCTGCAAGGTCTCCCCTCTTAGGCCAAAAAGTCCTTACAGTGGCTCCAGGCTCTCCTCTGCCCCTCACCCATGTCTCTTGTACTCTCTGGCCCTTTAGTGCTCTTTGCTTTGCTCCATTGGCTTCAGGCACATCACTGTTTTTGCTCCTCCTTCAATGTCACAAGCACACACCTGCCTCAGAACCTTTGCACCTGCAGTTCCCTCTTTTTGAAACATTCCTCCCTCATACATCTGCCTGGCTCATTCTCTTGTTTCAGGTCTCAGCTCAAATATCACCTTATCAGTGGGGTGACTTCCCTGACTATCCCATAGAAAATAGCAATCACCCCCAGTACTCTCTGGCTTTCTTATTTACCACTGTTGGACATAATACTTCGTTTGTTTTCTGAACCTGCATTCTGTGGAGTGTTAAGTGCCACACTTACTACTGTATCCCAGCACTTGTAGTAGTCCTGGTACACAGTAGGTATTCAATGAATATCTGCTGGATGAGTGAATGAGTGAGCAACACTTCTGACTGAGACAATAAGTAAATTGCTTTCCTCTGGATCCCTTGCTCATCTACCAAGGGCATGAGCTTCTCCATTTTTCCTGCATCCCCTTTCCCTTGATATGGTTCTACTTATACTCAATCCTCTGTCACACTCAGGTCTCTAACCCTAGCCCAGAACATTCTGAGTCAGGCTCATATATCCAGCTGCCTATCAGATGGCAACCGCTGAATCATCCACAGAGCCTCAAACTCAACATATCCACATAAATTCTTCCTGTGCTCCTCTTTCCACGGCAAATCACTAGCTCTCTGGGCACTGTCAAAAATCTTCAATGGCTCCCTAGTACCTACAAGACACAGCATCAAATTCCTAGCTTGGCCTGGGAGGTTCAGCCAGCTATGACAGCCTCATTACACACTGCATCCTCTAAGGTGTCCTAAGCCCAGGCACGGGGGCTCCCACAGTAATAACCACGACCATATCTGTCTGGGTGGAGGGCACCTGCTCACCTCTAGCACCTGGCACAGAGCAAGGCTAAGTGAGCTCTGTGTGCTGCATGAATAAATCACACCTCCAAAACATGAAGGCACCAAGCAGGTTACCTTAGCTGGCTCTTGCAGATTGGCTGGCTTTATTGTCCCAATTGAGGCCTGAGCCCTCCAGCGGGTGCCTGTGGAGTGGGCAGACTAGAGGGTATATGTGGCCCAGCTAGGCCACCTCTACAGAGGGAGGAGGGGCAGAAGAGGAGGAAAGGACCCTAAGAGGCTCCAGTGACACACGGTGAACTGCATCCAAGCGCTAGGGAGCCCCTCAGGCTCTCCCCTTCCAACACGATCAAATGTCCCCAAGCACAAGTGCAGGGCCCCCAGGAGTGCAGAATGTTTTCCCCAGAGAGTGCTCCGCCTCGCTGCTGCTTGAGAGAGAGGGACACCTGTACAAGTGACTCTCAGAGGCTGCCCGCTGCACCAAGGGGAGAGGGCAGGCAGGGATAACTGGCTCCACTGTGCAGAGGAGGAAACCAGGCTCTGCGGAGACAACTGACTTGCTCATTTAAGTAAGAGGCCCAGGCAAGATCGGAACCAGCTCTGACCATAATCTCAATAGTGTGGCAGAGATGACCCTTTTGGGAAACAGGGCTACCGAAGTTTGTGATCCCACCCTGCCTTAACACAACACAGAAAGGACAAACTCTGACATAGCTGTGTCCCACCATGACCAGTATCAGAAAAGGGACGGAGGGGAGGGAGAGGCCCTGCAGGTAATCTGCTACCTGCTCCTCAGGTATGTAGGTGGGAGGCCAGGTACATCCTCACACCCCACTGCACAGAAAGTAACGGCAGGCTGGGCAAGAGTAGGCAAAGCCAGGCCAAGTGGGAACCACACCAACCAGTCTAAGGGTACAAATGTTCCTCAGTGCCAGTTGATGGTCACCGTGTAGTGACTTGGGCCCCGTTTTTCAGAAGCAGCCAAATTACCAAACCTTGTCAAACCGAACCCCAAACAAAATAGCACCTGCGCCTTACATGCCGAACAAAGTATATGTGCAGACCAGACACAGCCTCAGAGTCAACGGACTTTGGCCGCTGGCAGTTGTGATATCAGGCAGGCCAGGGTGTGAATGCTCCTTCCCCTCCATAGCTGTGAGGTCTACTTCTCTAGCTCGCGATGTTCTTAGCTCCAAAGTGGGGCTGACAACAGTGTTCGACCCCCAGGGATTTAGGGAAGGACACAAAGAGTCAGCACAGGGCTCAGGGGATGGCGCTGCCATCACAGTAATCCCTGAATGTCTGGAGCTGCAGCTCATGTGATGCTGGACATTAAGATACCGCGACTGGGCTGAGGATGTAGCTCAGTGGCACCACACCTGCCTCGGAAGCACAAGGTCCTGAGTTGGATCCCCAGTAACAACAACAACAACAAAGAGATACACTGCCTAGGAAGCACAGGGCCCTGGGTTCAATCCCCTGCACCTGTCTAAAGCAGCACTGGCCAGGTACACACGTCAAGAGCGTAGACTCTGGAGCCATACTAGCCTGACTTAAGCTTCCAGAGCATCAAGCCTCTTACTTATAAAACGGAGATTTTGATAACGCCGTCTTCATAGGGTCCTTGGAACAATTAAATGAGTTAATATGCAAAGTGCTCCAAACCCAGCTGAGCCTACAGAGACTGACAGGTAAAGTGGACTGCCCTGAGCAGCAGCCACAGCGTTTTCATAACCATCAGCTCTGTCGGAGAATGTGAGCTCAGACGCCAGTGGTCAGCCAAAAAGAGGGGAAGCTGTTCTGTGTGAACCATCGGCTTAAAGACAGGAGCCAGAGCATGGGGCTGACTCTCTGCTGAGGCTGAATCTCAAAGGATGTTGCTAAGCAGGCTCTTCCTGGCATGACGGGGACCTTACAGAAGCAGATGGGAAGGAGGTTGGGGACTTGAAAAGGCTTCACATATTAAATAAAGAACTACTAGAGAATAACACGAAAGGGGCAGGCAACATACATTTTTTAAAATGGACAAAAGCCTTGAACAAGTATTTCAAAAAGGAGGCCACTCAGAGCTGGGGCTGGGGCTCAGGGATAGAGTGTGTTTGCCTAGCACAATGACTTGGGTTTGATCATCAGTAGCAAAAAAGAAAAAGAGGTGCTCAACTTCATTAGCCACCAGGGAAGTGTCAGTGAAAGGCACGGCAAAGACCACCAACATAAAGCAGAATGGAATGCTTTTTCCCGAGACTGAGTTTCGCTGTGTGGTTCAAGCTTGCTATGTAGCCTCCCTATGTAGCCCAGGCTGGCCTTGAACTCATGGTAATCCTCTTGCCTCAGCCTCCCGAGTGCTGGGCTGGCTATGATTTTAAAAAGATGAAAAATACCAAGTGTCAGCAAATATTTAGAACTCTTATCCACTTCTGAGAGGAGTATAAACTGGTAAAACCACTTTAGGAAACTAGCAATATCTACTAAAGATGAACACATGCATATGCTATACCCAGTAATTCTACTGCTAGGCGTATGATTAACATTAAAAGGCACATACGTGGGCCCAGGGATTTAGCTCAGTGGTGCCACCACCTGCCTCGCAAGCACAAGGTCCCAAGTTCAATCCCCAGTACCAAAAAACAAATAAACAGACAGACAAAAAGGCACATGTGTTCATCAATGGTCTGGGGATATAGCTCAGTGATACAATATGTGCCTATTATGCACAAGGCCCAGATTCAATCCCCAGTACAGGAAAAAAAAAAAAAAAAAAAGTACATAAGTTTACCAAATGATAAGTACTAGATAGTATCTGGGTGTGATGGTGCACACCTGCAATTCCCGTACTGAGGAGGCTGAGACAGGAGGATCATTGCAAGTTTGAGGTCAACCTGGGATACACAGTAAGTTCAAGACCAGCCTGAGCTACAAAGTGAGACCCTGTCTCAAAAAGCAAAACAGAAAGCACTACATGGTCATAGCAGCACTGTTTATAACGGTCAATAACCAGTAACAACCCAATGTCTACCAACAGTAGAATGGACAATTAAATCATGGTTTGTTCATATGGCAAAATTCTACCGAACAATGAGAATGAACAAATGCAGCTCCACAGCAATGCAAATGAATTTCAAAGACAATACTGAGTGGCAGAAGCCAGACACAAAAGAGAATGCTATTAGGAATTAGCTTACAATGGTTATCCTGCTGAAGGACTTTAGGGGAGCTGAAAATATTTCATTTATTGATCTGGAAGGTAGGTATATGGGGTATTCACTTCTTGAAAATTTACTGACATTATGACCTGTGCACATCTGTGTTTTTGGTTAGTTGTTTTTTGAGACAGGGTCTCACTATGCAGCCCAGGCTGGCCTCAAACTTGCAGTGATCCTCCTGCCTCAGCCTTCTAAATGCTGGGATTACAGGTGCGCATCATGCCTGGCCACTACTCTGTGTTTATATGACACTTTCAATAAAAAGATATTATTAGCCGGGCATGGTGGCACACACCTGTAATCCCAGCACTCAGAAAGCTGAGGCAGGAGGATTGCTGTGAGTTCGAGACCAGCCTGGGCTACATAGTGAGTTAGTTCCATGTCAGTCTCAACTACGTAGCAAGACCCTGTCTCAAAACACCAAAAAAAAAAAAAAAGATATTATTAAACAACTAGGAGCCAGGCATGGTGGTGTATGTTTATAATCCCAGCACTTGAGAAGCTGAGGCAAGAGAATCACTGTGAGTTGGAGGCCATCCTGGACTATACAGCAAGAACATTTCTGAAAAAAAACCAACCAAACAAACAAGTAGGGATGCTAGTAGTTCTGGCTCTCTAGTCACCCATTCCCAACTCTCAGCCTCTATTGGATTCCTGGCTCACAGATCATCAAGGCCAAATCAACCCAGAGAGTCCCCTCCAAGTACCTCAAAAAGAAATGTTTCCCATTTCCTCAGCAGCTGCCCCTGCTATTTGGGAAGGGCCCGAAACACAGGAGACCCATAAACTCCTGGCTTTGGGAAAGAGACAATTTCCGCCAAATGGCTCTGTGCACCTGAAGCACGCACGCCCTCTGGTAGGGGACCCTGCTCCTGCAGATGGCTCCCAATCTAGAAAGCTCTTCCTTGCTCTGAGCTGCAGGTCTGGCAACTCAATGTCTTGGCTTTATCCTCTGAAACATTTTTTTTTGCCGTACTGGATATGGAACCTAGGCCTTTGCACATGCTAGGCAAGCACTCTACCACTTAACCACCTCTCTTGGGGGTAACTTTAACCAGCACTCACTTAAGAACAAACAGGAAAAGCAAACATATTTACTCTCTTATCTGATGCATTTATTAATTTAATCATTTATTTATTTGGTACCAGGGATCGAACTCAGGTCCTTGCACTTTCGAGGCAGGCAGTGGAACCACTGAGATAAATCCCCAGCCCTCGCTTTTAAATACTAGTCTGTTTGCCTTGGCTATTTCAGACACCAAAGCCATTTCAAACATGACCACTGAAAACACACGTGGTCACCATGCTGAAGCTTTGGTCACGAGGCAAAGTTCTATTTTATAAAAGAAGTCCCTCTAATAAATAGATGTGATCAGATAGTGCCATTTTTACACACTACATTGAAATAACTGACTCAGGCAGAGATCCTGAAGGATGAAACCATGAGATGAGGATCTTCGTGAAGAGATGGGACTGGGACCACCTGACTCGACTGATGGCCGTATGAGGCTGGTTGCTTACAGACTTGATGCAGGGTAAAGAAAGTCACACTAAGTGGATGAATGGCTTTGGCCTCTTTTCTTTTCCTTCCCCATATCCTGTGCTATTGTTTTGTAGGAGAATGTCCAGCAAAGAACACAACTGCAAATACTGTATTTGGTTGTGCAAAAGAGGAGCTAGTGCATGGGCTAAAGAGGAAAGGAAGACATGATTCTTTATTTAAAACAAGATATTTTGGAGCCAGCCAGGTGGCGCACACCTGTAGTCCCAGCAGCCAGCCTGGGATACATAGTGAGTTCAAGGCCAGTCTGAACTACATAGGGAGAACCTGTCTCAAACAAAAAACAAAAAACAAAAAAACGTAGCTCAGGACCCACACACATCTGGACTGTAGGTCTGCAAAGTACAAGCTGACATGCCTGTGGACTGCAATGATATCCTCATTTCCCTTAGCAATCAATACATGGAAACAGGTATCAAGGGTCAAACATGGTCACAATGAGCCCCCACCCTATTTGTGGCACTGGGGATTGAATCCAGGGCCTTCACATTGAACCACATCTACAGTCTCCTTTTTTGCTCCCTGGCTTTAAAACATTTTAAAATTTTGAGACAGGTCTTGCTAAGGTGCTCAAACCACTTCAAATTTGTGATCCTCAGCCTCCCAGGCACATGCCACCATGCCGGAACTGAGTTCCTTTTCCAGTCTTCCCCAGGCCTCTATAGACAGGATCTGGCCAGGACAAAGGCAACTGGAATTCCTTGCAGGTCAATGGTCTGTAATAGTTAAGGATTCCGCATGACTCTCTTAGATCCCAAGACTTGGCCTCCTGAGCCTTACACCCACCCCCCAAAAATGTGAACCTAATTAAGATGTCAGAGAAACATAGTTTATAACAAATATGGGCACTAGAGAAATAACAGCTCCAGAAAGCAAGAAGACACACTCAAGATGTGGAACATTCCGTAGAACAATCAAACTGATCTCTTCAACAACTAAGTGGCATAAAAAGGCAGTCTTACTATGGGGTGACACAGATATAGACATTTAACAAGCCTCTTCAAATTGTACTTAAGATTTACTGAATGGTGCATGCCTGTAATCCCAGAACTAAGGAAGATGGAGACAGGGGGATGCCAAGCTCAAATCCAGCCTGGAAAATGGGATAATGTCTCAATAAGATTTGGTCTCAAAATAAAAAATAAAAAGAGCTGGGGCTATAGCTGAGTGCGAAGGCCCTGGGCTCAATCCCTGGTACCACAAACATCAAAACCCAAGTGTATGTAAATTTTACTTCAGTTTAACAAAGAGACTTAGATATAACTGAATGAAATAAATGTGTAGATCATGCAATAAACCAATCAGAAGAGACATTTTTGAAAGGGTAATAGGGAAGATTTGTGCATTTTATGTGAAAACAAGTAATTATTCGTTGTTTTAGTTGCTTGAAAAAAAGTTCAGCTTTTAGAGTCATAGGCAAATGACTAAGATGGTGTAAGGTCTGGGATGTGGTTTTAAATACTTTATGGGCTAAGGATGTTGCTTAGTGGTGGTATGCTTGCCTAGTACGATAAAGCTCTGGGTTTAATCCCTAGCACTATAAAAAAAGAAATAATAATAATGAAAAAATAAAATCCTTTCGTTATAGGAAAGAGGGATGTAGCTCAGTATAAAGCACAAGCTTTATATGAACAAGGGCATGGATTTGATCCCCAGCAAAAATAACAAAACAGAACTTTAGTTACAGGCATTTTTGGTCAAGGTCAAAATGTCTCTAAATTCTTTTCAAATTCATCCCCAGAAATATATGTACTTAAATATAAGGAGGGATAGAAAGAGAGACAGCAATTATGGAAGATTATTTAAAAGTCAATCTAGAGGAAAATGGACGGAAGGAGGGAAGAATGGGGGAAGGAAGGGAGGAAAGAAAGAAGGACGGAAGAAAAAAGGGAAAGAGCAAACAGCAAACGTGACCAGTGTCTTGATAAACTGCGCTTTTGGCATGGGAGGCAGGATGCTGCCTGGCCTTGAACTCCTGGGCTCCAATAATCCTCCCAGCCAGCTTCCGGAGTGCTAGGACTCACCCTGCCATGTCCCGCTGTGAGAATTCCTGAATCTGAGTGGTGAGCGTGTGGTAGGGGTTACACTGTCCCTCAGGTTTACATGTGTTTTTCAGATCCTGTCTCCTTCCTAACACGCAGGTGTTGTCCACAGCATCCTGCGCTGAGCAGTGCTTTCCCAGGGGAGTACTTGGCTCCCTCCCACAAGCACCCCGCGGCAGGTGGCTCAGTCTGCAGATGAAGAGGGAGGGTCTCAGAGAGGTGCAATGGCTTCCCAGCCACACACGGGTGAGCTGAGGAGCCAAAACACCGATGTAGCCCCCTGGATCCTGCAGCCTGTGTTCCGAGCCCATACAGCCTGACTGGAAGCACCTCAACTGCCAGCTCACTGGAGAGAAACTCACACTGACTACCACAAGGCGCTTCTCAACTTGCCCACTCTGCTGCTCAGTCCAGGGCCACGCAGTGCTTAGCAGAAAGCAGGAAGACATATTCAAGATGTGGAGTGTTCCGTACAACAATGGCTGAGCTGCCCATGGCCTAACAACTCTTCTGATGCAGCAAGTGCTGTGCTTCCTCTGTCTTAGCACCCAACTCAAAGCCAAATTCCTAACTCAAAGCCTCACTCCCAGCCTGACACCCTGGCTGTGTGACCCTGGGCAGATGACTTCTCCATGTGAGCCTCAGTCCCCTTCCCTTGTACGTAGGGTCAGTAATAACAGCATCTATCCGGGGGGTGTTGTGAAAATCACAAGCCTCACCTTACAATAAACAGTAGCATGATGCCTGGCCCACAGCAAGTACTGAAGAAATTGTTCTTTTCCACAGTTTGGCCTCATCTCTCCTGCCTCCCCGCCGCCTTCCATCTGTCCACTACCCACCCAGCTATCCCTACCGTCTCTGGCTGGCTGGAGACTGCTGCTCCTGTGCCAGCCCATGCTCCTTGCACTCAGTTGATGACCTTCATCCAGGGTCCCACCCACCCCTCATCCAGACTCACCCCTTGCGAGTGCAGATACTCCACGGTCTTGCCAATGGTGTGCAGGACGAAACTGGCCTCCCGCTCTGAGAAAAACTTCTGCCGGAGGATCTTGTCCAGCAGCTCCCCACCCCGCATCAGCTCTGTCACCAGGTACACATGCTTGCCATCGTCATACACCTGTCCGAGGCCTCGCCATCAGGGCCATGTCACCAGTGTCCTCAGGCACCAGCCCCGCAGAGGCAGAGGAATGGCATGAGCCTTGGGCACATGTTGTGCTCTGTGCCCATCTGGGTCCCTCCCCTCCTAGACAAGGGGGTGCTGGCTCTGGCCCCCAGTGAGCAGGGGAGCAAGTCTACATTGCAAGGGTCCCTGGGGTGTGGACAAACCAGAGGGATACAAATCCTTGAGTCCAGTGCCCCAGCCCCTACCCCAATCTCAAGAACCCCTACTCACATCTTTTAGTGTGATGATGTTTGGGTGCTGCCCGTACCGCAGAAGAATCTCAATCTCTTCTGAGGGGTCTCTCTTGCTCTTGTCAATGACCTAGAGAAGGGAGGTACATGTGGTGGTGTTGGGGACAGACACCAGGGTTCCTCATGCCATGGAGCCCACACCTCAGGGCCTGGGGTCCATTCACCGATTGACAGACCTTAGCCACTGACCCTCCAGCAAAGGGCCACGACTCCACTGGCCTCACCCCCAGCCCCAGCCCAGGCCAAGGCGTGGTCAGGAGGCCCACCTTGACAGCATATTCCATGTTGGTGGCCTTGTGAACGCAGCGCTTGCACTCGGAGTAGGAGCCCACGCCGATTGTCTCCTTTATTACATAGCCGTCGCTAAAAACTAGGTTCTTCCCATGGAGTTGCTGAAGGAGAGACCAAGAGGTGGGGCTGACCGCTGGCTCCAGAGTGCCAGAGGCTGTTCCCAACACCAGGGCCTTGGGTCACTGGATGTGGTACAGGGGAAGAGCCGGGAGGCCTCGGGGTAGTGCTGGCTGTGTGACTTCAGGTAAGAACCCGGCCCTCTACTCTATCTGATGGGCACACTTGCCGGCTAGGACACAGTTTGTATAGTCAAAGGGTGGTAGAGGGGCTCAGGCAAGTCACAGCATACCCATCAAGAGGTTTGTGGTTCTGAGAAGCTTGGGCAGCCCCAAGAGGGACATAGGAGCCCCAGTTTGGGCTCCTGCTCTGCCTCTCCTGCTGTGAGGGGTGAGCTGTCTCCCCTTTCTGGGGTGTCAGGTTCACCTCGTGAGGTGTCTCAAGTTTCTGTGACATTAACAACAGCAAATGTTCACAAGCTGTGCGCCAGGCACTATCTAAGCACTTTCATCAGGGGGCCATATGTCCAGCAGTAAGCCTTAGTTTGTGCCTGCTGTCCTCACAAGTCACAGGGAAGGTTCTATCCATACCCTCATTTATAGATCAGAACAAAGGGGTACCAGGAAGGAAAGTGTCTCTCCAAACTCCCTTCCCCTTGAGGGTCTGTACCCAGCAATGAGCTCCCGGTTCTACATCTTCCCTCTCCATCTTTGCATGGAGTGGTGCAGTGTACAAACGAGGGACAAACAAGACCTCTGCTACCCACTCCTGTCAGAGACTTGACAGCCACTCCTCCCCAACCTTGCTGGGTACCCCAGGCCTTCACCCACCTCTGGGCCAGGAAATTTATAACCATGTTGTCATCCAATGATCAAGGCCACCATTTTACAAATGGGAAAGAGGATCAAGGAGCTCAGAGGGCCTTGGCTTCGGGCTTTGACCCAGGCCTATCTAGCCCCACGGCCTGTTCTCAACCATCCTGCCCTGTGCTTCTGTGTGGAAAGGGACATCCAAGGAGTGGCTCCCGCCTCCCTCACCTGTACCACCGAGTGCAGGGGTGCCTGTGTGGCCCGAGGCTTGCCATCGTCTTCCATCAGGCCAGTGGCCACAAAGCTGAAGCCACGGAAGAGCTGATGGGCACCGGCGCTGGGGGGGACACCTGGGGAATCTGTAGGAGTGGAGCGGGATGTGAGCCCAAGGCAGCCCAGCGAGGGCCACGGGGTCCTGGCCTGTCACCTGCTGGCCGTGGTGGAGCCCTGTGCATGGGAAACGACTCCCACATCCAGCCCAGGCCAAGCTCATGCCAACGGTCTTGGAGGCCCTCTCCCCTGCCCAAATGCCGCCATCTGCCCCTTGGTGTCATCTGCTGTACAGGAGCCAGAGTTCCACATGCAAATCTTCTGCTTTGCCACCCTTTACTGCTCTCCTCTGCCCTCAGCAGACAACCTGACTCCTTAGTCAGGCAACTGAGCTCCCTGTGGGCTGGGCCTCCTCTCTCCCCACCTCACAGCACAGCTCTGTTCGATTTCCCCAATCCTTGAATGAGTTTCTGAGCCATTACACATGCTATTCCTTCCAGACAAGAGAGTCTACTCCTTGTCTACCCTTCCAGGCTCAGCTCACTTGATGTCTCCTGAGAAGCCTTACCGGACAATGTCCTCTACCCTTACCCCCTATGAACGCTTTTCTTTTCTTTTTTTGGGGGGGCAGGTACCGGGGATCAAACTCAGGACCTTGCACTTGCCAAGCAGGCACTATGCCGCTGAGGTTCATCTCCAGCAACGAACCCCTTTTCCAATGATGGCCTGAGCTAGATGCAGGCAGGGCCTGGGTCTGTCCCATTTACCAGACATGGCATGCTCTAGGGGCCTTGCCAGATAAATGAACAAAGCTGAGACTGATTACTTGGAGTAGAGCTAAGCTAGCCATCATCAGTGGTATGCAAGGTACAGACAGAAAAGCACCACCTGATACCAAAATACAACCCTCTCAGAGAATTCTTGGAATTAACATCCCATCCTCAACCCACTGCCAATGTCTGGTTAAAGGTTAGGGTTTCTCCAGCTGCCTCCTGGAAGTCCCCACTGGCTTCTGCGGCAACCCCCGGGAATGAGCGGGCTGGGCCCGTAGTCCAGTAATGGAGGCCCAACAGTCAGAACAGCTAAAGCCAATGCCCACACTTGTCCCTGACCTGTGGGCGCTGTCACCTCTGCTTGTCAGACTGCTTCCACCATGGCTTTGCTGGGTGAGATTTCTTATCCTTGACGTGTGTGCAGGCCTGAGGTAGTCTTCCCAGTGGGCTGGAAGATGCCCGGGGCAGGGGTCTTGACTTTTCTATTGTGTCCATGACCACCCACACACCTCACTGCCTCACCCAGATACAAAGAGGCCCACAGAGCCCAGAGTGGGAGAGTCAGGCGGCATGAGATAGGGAGAAGGTCAGAGTCCCACAGAGCCAGACACCGCCTGTCTACACACATGCCCAGGCCTGTCAGAGACTCCCTGACCACCCGTGTCCCAAGGTGCCCCCGACTTCCTGTTTCCCTTGTGTACCAGCCCAAGGCAGACAAACCAGACGAGGGACATACCCTTGGGTGTACGGGATGTGAACTCAGTGTCAAAGTAGAAGGTGTCATCTGGCTGAGCCACAGCTGGCTTGAAGGGTGGCTTGATTTCACGTCGGTAGAGCTTCTACAAGGTGGGGGGTTTTCTGGTCACCATGCTGCCTCCCACAGCCCACCAGCAGCCTCATGAAGGAAGATCACAAGCTATTCTGCTCAGCAGATGGCAGCAAAACTGCTTGCTCTCCCAAGGTGAGCCCTTACCTCCAAGGGCATGACATCACCCTCGTTCCCACCAGTCTCCTCCTACCACTCTCCCTGTGGCCACAGGGCCAAAGCCCTGGCGGAACGGACACTCACGTTCCAGTCAATGGTGGAGTAGAAGACGTGCCTCTTGATTTCCTCTGCCCCATCAGGACCAGAGCCTAAAAGAGTCAGAATGAAAAGTCTGCCCCTGGATGGTCCAAACCCAGAAACCCAGTGGTCCACCGAGTGCCTGCATGGGCAGGGGATGGGCTTGACCTGCCCTGAATCCACCTACCCACCACCCTGAGGCCTGTCACCCACTTGGTACTTTTCACTTTTTGGAGTTTCTAATTATCAAGCTTCCAGTATGGAAGAAGAAAGGCCAGAGAGGTTAGGCAGTTTCTTTAAGGCCACACAACACAAAAGCTGGGCTTGTTCTGAGATTTACAGAGGGCCCTAGAGCCTTCCCAGTGGAGGTCCCCTCTCTGCTCCTCTTATCTTATTGTCCTTTTCAACCACAAGACAAGCTCTCACTCTGTTCAACCCCACGATTTGGACTGAAGCTTATGAAGCTAGTCATGGTCCAAGGGAACCAGGAGCTCAGGAAGCCAACAAATACTGAACACCACGTACATGCCAGGCATATGCCCAGAACCTCGTTTAATCATCAGAGCTCCATAGCTTGCTTGGGCTCATGAGCTCCACTGAGATGAGGAACCCGGGGCTCAGAGAGGGGAAGTCACATGCCCAGGTCATATAGTTCATAGATGGCACATATTTGTTCAACAAATATTTATGGAGGAATTGCCATGTGCCAGACAGTGGGGATTGACACAGCTGGAGCCTGAGCCTTCTCTTGAGCCAGCAGTCTTGGCGGAGAAGCTATGTGGGGGGCCTCTGTCCTTGTCCCCAGAGGGAATGGGGATGACTCAGTTCCTGCCTTCCCCCTACACACACAGGTCACCCCCCCAACACCACACATGGAGCCAGAAAGCAGGGTGGCCGGCGGCATTGTCTGCCCACACAAAGGACAAGGGCCCCTTTCAGCCCCAGATGTGGCCCTGTGGCCTAGGCTGCAACTGTACCCTGCTCCCCACAACCACGTCCCCTCCCTTAAGCTGAGGCTGCTTACCGAGCCGGTTGGCAGGATTCCGCTTGAATAGGGCACGCAGGAGGCTCTGGGCTTCCGTGCTCAGAAACTGGGGCATGCCTAGCTTTGCCCTGAAATGGCCCCGGGGTCTCATCAGGCCTGAGCCCTGCCCAAGAACCCCAGCTCCCTCCCGCTCTGTCCAAGCCTTGTTCCAGCTCAGTCCAAACAAGCCAGACACTAACTCACCTCCCAAAGACTTCAGGGATCCCTCCCTTAGGCCCTGGTGGGTGGAAAGGGGGCTGTGGAAAGCATAATATTTAACCCCAAGGAGTGTCTTATTAATGGGGGCATTGGAGGCAGGGATAGGGTGACACTCTAGGCCCCAAACTGGGATGGGGCTTAGGAACCCCCCCATAGTACCAGGGAAGAGCTGGCGCTTACTTCAAAATCAAGGTCATAGTCTCTTTCCGGTCCTTCCCCTGGAAGGGCAGGGAGCCTGTCAGCATCTCGAACTGCAAAGACAAGGGTCCATTCAGGCTTCATCCCTGTCCCACACCCTATTCCTCCCCGCACCAAGACCAGGCCACCTGCTCCAGTCCCAGGATTCCTACCAGTCTGTTGGATCTCCAAGTACACCAGGAGCAAGGACTGTGTCTGCCCCTCTCCCACATCCAACCCAGAACAACAGGAGCGGTACTAGGGACCCAGAGCCAGGTTAGGGGTACCCCACGTGGCGTCAAGTCTGAGATCTTCCCAGGCAGGAAACTTCAGCAGCATGTAGGGGGAGGCCAGCTTGGCTGTGAGGGGACTGAGGGTAGGGGGTCTTGGAAATTACCAACTCCCAACAATATAGAGATGGGGAAACTGAGGCTAGAGGTTTGGGCTGGATCCTTTACCTCTGCCTGGACACTCACCATCAATACCCCATAGGACCACCAGTCTGCACTGTGGGTGTGGCCCTGGCGGTTGACAACTTCTGGGGCCATGTACTCCACTGTCCCACAGAAAGAGTAGGCCTTCTTCTCATGGTCAATGGCCTCCTTGCTCAGGCCAAAGTCTGCAGTGAGGAGAGCGGGGGACGCATCTTCAGGACCCCTGCTTTCTTCCTGCCACTGTTTACACTCATTTCCTCAGCCCAGGGCCTAAGGGCTTCACTTCCTGTGACACGTGATACGCAGGAAGACACTAAGGCCTGGAGTGATCAGATGATTTTTCCAAGGCAACAGGAGTTAGGAGTTGGGATGCTACCTCAGGATGTTTAAAGTCTGGGGCCTGGGGTTTGACCCCCTCTGAGTAATCGGCATGGACTCTCAGGAAAAAATGGGCCCCAGCACTCAGCCAAGCCCTATCAGGAGCCTTTGCCCCTCTGAGAGCCTAAAAGGGCAAATGCCCTCCACTCACCAGTCAATTTGATGTGGCCCTCCTCATCCAGAAGGATGCTGGAACAGAGAAGCAGAAGTCAGGGCCCCTCAGCAGCAGGCGCTGGGTGGGTTCTGGTGGGACCACTGGATGGCAGGACTTGGGCCCGCCCAGAGGAGCTGGCCTGCCCAGAGCAATCTGATGAACAGATGCTACAGCCAGGCCAAGCAGCACCACGCAGGTGTGTCGCCTACCTTGCTTGTTAATCCTTGCAACAACTGTGTTCTTTATGTCCTCATTTTAATAAGGGGAAACTAAGGCTCAGGAATGTTAAGTAACTCCCCATAGTCAAAGAACTAGTAAGTAATGGAGACAGGCACTGTCGTGCCTAACTTTGGTTTGTTTTGTTTTGGGTTTTTTGTTTTTGGTTTTTTTTGAGTTAAGATCTCACTATGCTGCCCAAGCTGACTTTGGATGCCTGGTCTCACATGATCTTCCTCACTCAGCCTCCCCAGTAGCTGGCACTCCAACAGGCAAGTGCCACCACACCAGCTTGTAGTGTGCCTAATTTTCAATCCAGATCCCACTCCACCTCATTATTTACCCCTGGCTCCTTAGGTATTAGGATATGAAGGAAAACCAGATATCTAGATATTAAGGAAACTTCTAGAGAGGACCATATCAAGGAAAGCTCTTTAATGGCAGCATCGCAGGTGTCACATCTGATTAGCAAAAAAGGACGGCAACACCCCTGCCTAGAAGACACCTGATCCTTGGTCATGGCAGCACTGGTGAACAGGTGCCCCTGAAGGCGAGCTGCTGCCGCCACCACCCCGTTTCACTCCCCCACTCTTAGACAGGCCAAGAAAGGGGAATGTTCCCAGGAGAGCCCCAGCACCCATCAGGGGTCTAGAAGAAGCCCAGGGGCCATCTCTGTACCTATTATGGAGGCGAGGCCAGGGAGGGGCTTCACTCACTTCTCAGGCTTGAGGTCTCTGTAAATGATGCCCAGGCTGTGCAGGTGGTCCAGGCCCAGAGCCAGCTCGGCCAAGTAAAACTTCACATCCTCCTCGGTGAACATAACCTGCAAGAGGCAGAAAAGGCTTCAGCTGCGGAACCTCCTCCTCCTCCTCCTCAGGCCCTGGGCCCTGGATAGCTAGCGACTTCCAGGTCCTCTGGGTCCATCCTGGGAACACACCCCAGTACCACAGACACCTTTCTCTTTCTAATGGGATTTGAAGTATGAAATGACTAATATACAAGTCACCCACTGTGGCACTGTTAGGAAATAGCAGAAGGCTAGGAACAGGAATAGAGGACTAGAACAAACCATTTCCCCCGCCTGGTGGAGGGTTATACAACTATAAACTAGGATAAAGAGTTTCTCCATGCAGGATAAAGAGTTTCTCTGTGTTCTGATACAGAACAATTTCTGAGATACTCTGTCTTGAAAAAGGCAAGGTACAGAACAATATATTCAGAAATGGTAACTTTTAAGTAAGAAAGTGGGGGCAGAGATTCAGAATATAAATTGGGTTTGTGTGCAAAAGGAACATGGGACGTTTAAACAAGAAACTAACGAAAATGTTTACCTATGCGGGGGACATGGGGGGTTGGAAGACTTGATGAATTCTTTCGAATCATGTTTATGTGTTACCTATTCAAACATTAAAATAACATTTTAAAAATTAAAATTCTAGTTCTCTTTAAAGGTTGAATTGTATTAAGTCCCATTTTTGTATTTAGCTCAGATCCTTTTATATCAATTCAAAATCCTTTTGGAGGACGGGGGATTTAGCTCAGTGGTTCTGCCACCTGCCTTGCAAACACAAGGTTCTGAGTTCGATCCCAGGTACCAAAAAAAAAAAAAAAAAATCCTTTTGCATAACACATGGGACAAGAATGCTAAAGTCTCTATCTAGCTTTCTGGGTGATTTGAGTTTTCCCCCAGTGCTCATGGTCCTGGCCAGCACAGTCCCGAAGGAACGTGAAGGTGGAGAGGTGAGAGGTACCCTTAGCTCCCCCAAATCAGATTTAAGCCCTGTTCCTCCTCAGGCCATCTTGAAAGAAACTCTCAGAGGCTTTGACAGATGTGGCCTCTGTCCCAGGCTGGGTGACAGTTCCTGGATCAGGGACTGCTATGGCAGGTTCCAGGCCCAGACCACACCAGACGTGTTCCTCACAAGAACCTGGGATGGGGAGTCCTCACTGTGGCCCCGGCTCCTCCATCCTGAGACCCTCTGGCAGGGGGCTGTCAGCTCACCTCTTTTGAGAGCCGTGTGAAGAGGTCCCCACCACGAAGGAAGTCCAGAATGAGATAGAGCTTGCCCTCTGTCTGGAAGGCTGGAGAGAAAGGAGGGACCATGGCGAAGTCAGTTGGGTCATGTGACCTCCCCCTCTGGCCCTGGTACAGGGAACACAGGGGAGGCAGCAGCCCACAGGGGAGAATCAATGCTGAGGAAAAAGAATGGTAGGCTCTGAGGTCTCACCATAGTGCAACTTCACCACAAAGGGGTGGTTCACATCAGCCAGAATGTCTCTCTCCATCTTGGTCCGAACACGATCACGTACTGGCCAGAGAAGAAATGAAGTCACCCGAAAGTCCAGGAACCCAACACAGCCACTCTGCTAGCCCCAATTAAGGGCTCCCTTTCCTGCTTGTTCCCTAGGCCTGAACTCCCAAGGCTCACTCATCAATCTTGCTTTCCTCCTTACCAGGTGGCTCTGGCTCTTCTGCCTGCTCTCTGCCCCCACACTCCTGGAAATGCCAGGTATGGGCCTTGGTGCTCTACCAGCGATCTGGGTCTGTCTCCCACCATACCTTATCAAAGGGCACTGAACAACTTGTGTCCCTGTGTGCCCATTTTCTGAAATCCCTTGTGCACATGTACACACACACACACACACACACACACACACACCCCTTTACCAGCTCCCTCTTTACCTAGTTTACAAATTCCCAAATTCTAGTCTGGGAGCTGCTGAGAACAGTTTCCCAGTGTGTTAGCGAGAAAGGCAGATACCACAGGCCTAAAATTCTGATTCATGGGTCTGGGTGGGCATCCCTCAAGTTTTTCTTTTAATTTTTTTAAAATTTTGAGACAGGTCTTATTAAATTGCTTGGGCTGGCTTTGAACTTGCAATTCTCCTGCCTCAACCTCACAAGTAGCTTGGATTACAAGGATACACTTCTGCGCCTGGCCTACAGTATTTTTTAAGATTTAAAAATTGTCAGGCAATTCTGATGACCAGCAGGTTCACTGATGGGATGAGGCAGAGACCATGCTGCAAATAACTCCCCAGCCACTGTTTTCCAAACACACCTCACAGCTCCAAAGTACCTCTGGCAAACAATTCCTCCTTCCCAGGTGCCCTTCCTCTGCCATCTTGGTCTAAAGAACACTTAACTCATCCTTCAACGCATAGCACACACAGCTACTCCTTAGGTGTCCCGCTGGCCCCTCAGCCTGCCCTCTGTGAGCCACTCCCCAAACCTCTGGACTCCTTGGCCTCAGATATCTCCATTAATGGGTCACAGCACCACTGCACTGCACTGCCAGGGTTTGGTTGGCTGCCCACATCCAGCCCGTGAGCCCTTCACGGCAGAGACCGAATCTCCATCTTTCTCCTCCCTTGTGGCCACCACCCTCCTTCCTGTGGGATGACTCCCACATGTCAGGCTGCACCAGAGCTCTCATAACCCCACAAGTCATTCACAGGACGCACAACCCATAATGTCTGTCAGGTTGATCCCCACCCACTACCAATCCCAGGCAGGACTTGGCTCAGATTCCACCTCAGTCAGTAGCAAGCCTGGCTTCCAGACCAAAGAGCCAATGTCTGAACCAACTCCCAGCCATTGTCACACTGTGATTTCCCACAATTCCAGACTTAGGCACCCTCCTGAACCTCTCTGCAATTACATCCATGGTCCTGCCTTGACTCACCCTCTCTTACGGGCCTAGCTCCCAGCTCCCCTGTGCTCCCCATCTCTTTTCTCAGGCTCTTCAACCTGAACTGGAGGCCAAATAGATCTCTCTCAGATTCTTCTAGCATCACAAAGCAACTGTGTTGACAGACGCCTTTGCCTAAACTGGTATTTGAGGGTCCTTCAACTCATCACAAGCACAGTGCATTCACCCCACTACCTTCTTGTGCCGGCCACCATCACTGAAAAATTACTGAGGATGGGTAAAGGGTGGCTGAAAGTAGGCCTGCTTTTCTACCCTCGAGCTAGGTGCTCCTAAAAATGGAGCTGCCTCCCTCAATCCTGGACCCAGCCCGGGCTCTATGCAGCCTTCACTCACCTTTCAGTGTTGCTTTCTTTAGCACTTTCATGGCATATAGGTGCCCACTGTCAGGCCGGGTGACTTTGCGCACCAGGAAGACCTGTGATGTCGGGGTGGGGGACAGGACACAAGAAGGAGCTAGGAGGCGGGTGAGCCTGCTGGCTCCCGTTGTCCAGGTCCCATGATGACCTCTCGCATCCCTTTCCTGATCATCAAGTGGATTTTTCCTTTCCCCGGGTACCTGCTGCTACCCTTGCCCTACGATCCATCATTTGGGACCCAAAGTGACCCTTGACCCCCACCTCTGATGGGACAAGCTCGTGACTCACTTTGCCAAAGGATCCCTGGCCCAGAACCTTGAGGAGCTCGAAATGGGATGGGTCAGCCTTCTCGGAGCCAGCCTTGACGTGGTGCGTGATGGAGATCTCCTTGAGGATGCCCTCATCCTGATGGAGGGATGGAGCTGGTGGGCACAGGGACTCCACAGAGGGCAGCCTGGTGCATACCCGACCCAAGCCAGTCCCACCAGGCTCCATCAGGCCCACAGCCACTCCCCTGGCAGGGTGGCCTCCTCACAGGCTCACCAGTACTGAGAGGGCCTCAAACCACCAAGGCGTTGGCTTGGGTGAGGCACTGCTCTGGCCCAGTCAGGCCTAAAGGGATGCCCAGGCAGCACCTGCCCAGCCAGGCTAAGTCACCCTCAAGCTCCAACTGAGGTGCAGGGACCTGCCCCAGGTCTACCCGATGGGGCTCCCCTCCCTCAACTATTTTGGTTTTGCCACAGTAGGAAGTAAGGTTTGCTCTCACAATGGGGAGGCAGGGCTGAGCCTTTGTTCCTTATCAAGATGATATGAGGGGATCCCTCTGCTTGTAGAGACAGGGCAGAGAGGAAAAGAGACCCAAAAGTCATGAAAAGGGCCGGGGATTTAGCTCAGGGGTTCGGTGGCCTGCCTTGCAAGCGCAAGGACCCAAGTTCGATCCCC